GAACACAGATGGAAGCGATACACCTGCGTCAATCCACAAGAGTATACTCTTCCGTGGGTTTGAATGACTGGCCCCTCAGCTTTGTATTTCTTCTGAGTTTCAGTAACGGTGACACACAGTGTTGTAAATCGTGGTTATTGTACTAGCATTTACATGGCTGGAAACTGTTTGTGTTTTAAACAGCGATGGAAAGCAGCTATATATTCTGTTAGTTGGTTTACTGCTGCTGATAGTGCCATTGAACAACTAGTATCGGCACCCGGTGAGCTGCGCTTGTGTAGGGAGTTCAGCTACTTCAACAGAGCCTCTGCGGTACAAGGAACATGGGTTAGTCTTGCCGGGTGACGACAACGGCCGAAAGGTCCCTTGCTAGTAAGACACGCTAAAACGTGAGGGCACATTGCGTCCGCAGCGCGTTTGCTGCTGCCATTGCTGTTATTGTTTTACCAACGACCACCCTATATTAAGGAACCCCTTCTCTCACATTTTATCGGTCACCGACAAGCTTAAAAAGCGTTGTGTTTAGCATTAAATGTTTGTGCTAGGTTCTGCTTATATGCAGCCTTGTCTGTTGTGAACTTTTGAGTACCCTGGTTACGTTAAAGCTATGTTTTCCTCCGGATTGCCGGCCTTGGAGCTTCTATGTACAACCGCCATGCAGCGTTGTGTACTGTCATCCATTTTTGAGTTCCGCTCCTAAACTAATAACTGAAGAAGACTTATCGCAAACACTTTTCTTTGGAGCCTCTGCAAGTGACTACTGAATGTGTTGACGAGCTATAGCCAGGCGACTTTCCAGGGTACTTTGGCAATGAACGTTCTGGGTTTAACCCTGCCGACGTTAATTACTCAATCGTTGCTTGTGATGGCTGGCACAGTCTCTTAGTTCACTGGGGTTGGCGGTGTTCACATAAGTTGTGGGACAAAGTCGCAGTATTATATGAGCGCTGAGTTTAATGTACTGAAAAATTTGGGAAGTTAAGTTGTAAGCAGCGTTTGCTAGGGGCTATGCGTGGCGTAGATAAAGTGTCAGCCATTACATGGGTTTCGCAACCGTATTGCGCAGTGCATCAATGGTAGTTGCTCAAAGAGCTACATTGGAAGTATGTTCACTTCTCTTTGTATGTCTTATGTGCTTTTTCTGTATAACTAAATAAGCTTACTAAATGGGTGAATTAGGTAACATTTGAGCAAGGTGGCATAACACCCTAATACCTTGAAAACAGGATCGTACTACTTACATTGACACAAGTTCTAATTATCCAGTTTTAGCTTTGCTGCACTTGTTTTCAAACATAGAATCATAGTCCAGGTGTCTCACTGCGTGTGTGCAAGCAAAAGCCTTGTATGGGTGCGAATAGCGTCAACTTTAGCACGGTCACATATAAATAGGTTTATCCATAAATAATGACTGTCAATATAATAAAAAATAGTCATTCGGGTTGAAATGCAGAAGTTCGGGTAATAAATAGATGTTGCAAAAAAGGCAAATTGCGGGAAACGACGTCAGTAGTTAAATACAAAACATTTTTGCTAATCCGCAGCATAGGCATTACTACCTTATTTTATTTGTGTTTCATCAAGCCTACAGTTGGCGAGAGTCAATGAGATATAGATGAAACTCGAGGAACTTCGCGGTGCTTCGCGTGTGGTGTGAAGCACGGTAAGGCCACTATGTATGCACATCTTACATTTAAGCTTGGCTCAATTATGTTATATCACTAGCTTGAATCAACTATTTCAGTCAATATTATCGTGACTTTCGTTGACTTCCTTATATTTTATGATTAGTTGACTGTGTTTGGTAAGGTAGTGATATTGTTATTATGTCGCTCATGATTTGTTTTAGGTGAATTCAGATCAGCTATAGGTTAGGTGGAGCTAAATCAAGCAATTAGAGGCGTTGCCCTTCAGGCAGGTTTATTTTCACTTTCATTGCTGGTAATGTATGATACAGCGTAGGCTGCATGGGCAGAGTGTGTTCCATAAATAACAGTAGTAATTGGCCAATAATGGTTTATTTTGTGTTTGCCGGAGTGACAATATCTTACGTGGCAAAATACGTGTTACTCCATCTTTGAAGCTTTACAGCATACCGGCACTGTGCGCACGAGTAGCAATACTTGGGCTGCAGTTATTACGGTCGAATTGTTATCCTGGTAATATGTTTCGTTGCATCCAAAACAACAGAGGTATTCTCTCTGCGGCAATGGATTTAGTTACAGGTGCCAAACTCGTATATATGTTTTTCGTCAAGAAATGTACCCCCATATATTTTTGCTGCTTACAGGTCAGCAACATGTTAAAAGAAATGTCTCCTTTGCTTATACCAATTGAGTGTCAACATGAAGTGACGCTGTCCGAACTGCCACAAACATGTCGCCACCGATTTAAAATAAGCATGCTGATGCCTGCAATCGATGACCACCAGACCACAGAAACTGTTTTACAACAACTTATAATGATACAAAGATTGCTGGAATTAGAAGGAAGCAGTTGTACACCGTTCACCCTCCCTGTATATAATCCACGTTTACATACCTGGGGTGAGCATACCGTTTTGCAAGTCACACTAATAAATGAAACGCCAAGTGTGCTATTCTATGTCTGAGTCATGGAAAAGGTACATATTTCGAGATGGATGACGTTGATAATAGACAAGTGTGAGGATTTTAATGCCCAAAAAATTTAAATTGGTTCATTAGCAGCCTAGCTTTGCACTTATAACAAAACTGCAAACTTACACGCTCGTGTTTGTGACCAGATCTGCTGATTCTTTTTTATGATATAGTTATTCTTATTATTATCAACGTTTGGAAGAACAAACGGATGGTTACATGCGATCACCTACATAGAACACTGACGAGCTTAACTTGGTCACAACCTGACTCAATAACAGAAGTACATTATCATGTGCTCTCTATATAGACCCGCAGCAACTATGTTCTTGTGTCGACAAATCCAATTAGCGTAGATTATCGAAAGCGTGGCGTTCCTATGCAGTACTGCCTAGAAACAATGTATGTAATTGTAACAATGCATGTAATTCAACCTGCATGCCTCCGTTCATTTACTAGATTTCGAAATGCCACTCAACAAAAATAGCGCATCGATCCTAAACTGTGATACGGTAAGCCAGCCCACCGCGCTAAATTGAACAATTATAATTTGGCGTTCTTTACCCACTTCTCTACATTAAGTTAGATTTGTGCATGTAATGTCATATTTTATCTTAATATTTCAAAGCAACTTACCCGTCCACGAATAAAAATCCGTACTATAAGCTCCGGAATGTGCTTTGCGAGTTATGTGATGCAATACCCAAAGCTGAACTTATAAATGTGTTTCATATAGTTCAACTCTGGGTGCAATATCCAGATCATCCTTCATCCCCTTTGTAAAATCTTTGGTCAAAATATCGTTGAAATTGCAAATTGAATGAACATGTGCAACTGGCTAGAAAAGGTAGGTGATGCTGCCAGACGAAATACAGATGCAGTGAGGTTCATGTACCAAACAATCACCACAATGTCCACGTTTTGCTGTTATGCCTAAAACAGAGTGTTTTAGAGTACAGCTTGATCTGATTTGAATGTTAACTTTTATCATCCTAGATCCGTGACCGTTCGACATGTCCACCTTACTCATGTAAACTGGAAATTTGGCAGAACAAGCAGATCCTTTTCCTTCAATTCCCGGCTGACCTTTGTGGTCAATTGGATGATTTCGCGAATGACAGACAAGCTGCATTTCTCGTCCATTCATCTTTAAATGAGAACAGCACATCTTGTCTGGTTATACAATACAAAGAAACTGAGGATGCGTTTGTCAAAGGTTAGAAACCTTAAAAATCACAGGTTATTCAAAATAATTCAAATGCATATTTGTCGTTTAGTGCACTTCCGCATCTGTAATGGGTGCATGATTTTTATCTTAGAACATTATTTACCATATGGTTATTGTAACTAGGAAGCAGTCCATACAACTACTCCTCTTCTAACTTATATTACCCGTCTGCTGACAAATGGAATTCAGCCTGGTGCTTTTGATGACAACCTCCTGAACAACACACGCTCTCACCTTATTGGCATAATCGCGTGCACGCTGTAATAAGTAATCATAACGCTAACATTATCACTGAAAGAGAAGTTCTAAAACGGTATTGTTAATGCTGTTCTTGTGTACTCCAACAGGGTTCAAATATTCATTGAACCAGTATTATGTCTGTGAATGGCACTGTTGCAAATGCGAAGTTGTGGGTCAGTTAAGGATTTATATTCAAGTGGAAGCACGTTTGGTGACTGGTACAGCAATCTGAGTTCCACAAATTTACTTTGTCGGAAAATCAGAAGCTGAGTACCTTGTATATACCAAAGTCAGTAGCCAGTGGCTCTTCCTCTTCTCTTTGCAGTGCCTCATAAAAGATATTTCTGTAAGTTATATTTACTTTGTGCAAAATATGCTTCCAGCAACCTCTATAATTCAGCAGTTGCAGAAATTAAGTGCCTAGCCTTATCACAGAAACCAACATTTATTTCATCGCAAACGCTCGGCGCTGCGACTTTGTTTTGTAAGAAACGTATTGTGAGTGTTAACTGGATTAGTTAGCAAAATGATCAAAATATACTTGCTCTTATCATGCCTTTCGGCGATGAACGGCACTAGCCTCCAGAACCCGTGGGTGCTATATGATGGCAAGTTTTACACCATCCCCAGCAGTAGACAAAAGTTCTCCATGACTAAGATAAGTAAACCTCTGCAATACTGACATGCAAGTGAGCGGACCAAGGTATGCTTCACAGCGATCGTGTACCTACAAACTGACATCTATTATGTGTACACAAACCTAATCGTGTGGCGTCAAATAACGGTAGGCCCCGAAATGTCGTAGAAACTACGAATTGCGCCAAATAGTTATGATGGGCATGCAATCACAGGGGAAGTAAGAGACTGACAATAATAGCGATGACACTAATAACTAAAATAACGGTTGCTAAAAATAGAAGAATCGAATATCTTTTGCAATCAAAACAGCTTCCGAACAGCGCGCTTTATGATATTTAAGCACAACTGAACAGTATCGTTTTATCAGAACTTTGACAGCTGCCGTATGTTGAAAGAGATACAGGCAGTATTTGAGAATAACGACATCCAATGTACCTGTCCTCAGAACTAAAGGTGCCGGAGCACGTACGCTGGAACCCGGCCACGTGTACTGCAATGAGTATAGTTGACATGTTGCACTAAGTTTATGCACACTGCTAAACTAAAATACACGCATAAGTCTGATAGCTGATATTTCCTTAGGATTTCCTAGCAGTAGAAGCAGCTTCTTCCATGACGCATGCTCAAAGATTGGCGATCAAGTTCATACTGGTCATGGGTTCAGGGCCTGTGAAGTGGATGAATGCGCATTACTCACAAGACCCAACCAAGCAAACGGCCGGCTTGGGCTTTACCGGGTAGTTTGAGGACTACGTGTTTTTAAAGTTGCTGCTATACACGATCTACAAATTATCATAAATACCCACCAACTATTAAAACAGAATAATGTTACTTTACGCACTCCAGAACCAACTTACCCCGAGACTCGATCAAGGTTTATATTAAATTCTCGTTGATCGAGTAATAAATAATGAGCAGTTATCACCCTTCCAGTTGTGGATGATAAATTAGTAACTTTTGTATAGCAAGTATGAGAAAACCTGCCTTTCAGTAGCCCATGATGCGTAAAAGTGTATGTTGCTAAATTCGTCAGCTCCAAATTAACCAAGGATTATCTAGAGCCTAAGCTAATAAATAAATAAAACTTCCATTGTAAAAGCAACCAAATTGTAGCCAAAATGAAACGTACTTCCGAAAATTTTGAATAATAAGAAATTTAACCACGTGTGAGTTAAGCCTTTTGCACGTGCTTATGCAAGATAGTGCACCTGATACTAACAGTATATGAATTTATTTTATCTTTGGTGGGTATGGTTATCGTATAAGCGTTATAAATTAGATTAACTACGAATAAAATTGGGCAGTTAACCGAGGTTCCTAATTTTAAATAACGGAAAGCTTACTGAAATGATTCCGTTAGTTGAAGTAGCCCTCAGTATCCGCAACTGAAGGTGCGTGACAAAGTGTGTGTTTACGAAGAAACATGTAGCTCTGGAATGCTCGGTCCACCGTTCTTGCAACTACCGGTGGTAGAAATTCTTGTGTAAAGTAACTGTTTAGGCTGAAAGCCCGCCCATGTCCTATGATTAGTGGGATGTGATATGGAACAAATATTAACGGTTTAGGTTAGTCAGTCAGTGGTCAGGGTGCTTAACGAGTGTGGCAGTTAGGTTGCCTTTTTATTGTAATACCCAATCATACCAGCTTAATGAAAATCCAACACAATAAACTAGGCTGCTTTAAAACCTATCTGCCATATTGCAGCATGAATTTGTGGAAACACGCAGAATGCCTGTCGGTCGTTTTGTTTTATGGCGTAGTTTCATTACCTGAAAGTTACTGAGAAACATTTGTGGCGAAAGCTAAGAAATATCAATATTCCGTACCAAACCAAAGTAGCCTGCCATTCCGTTTGGAAAATGGCAGTACTGTCTATTAAGTAAAATGCATGTCAATTTTAAGAAATTAGAACGCTTGTGAATCTGAAATGCTGTATCCATACCTGCGCAAAGTATTACGAAGAAAGGCATACGGCGTTTTTACAGAAATTGTAATAAATCGATATTAGGTGTTGTCGTCTACTATTTTATCTCCACCTTCGTTATAATGCTTGCAACCGTTACATAGCAATTAGCAATTCTGGTTATGAAGCTTAATTCATAGGCACCATGTCTACCTAACCTTACCAGTTTACCGTGAGAAAACCAACTTATTGCAATGTCTGCTATATGCTCTCCCGTTTTCCCCAGTACTTTGATGTGAAAAATAATACGGTTGTTACTTCACTAGAATTTACAGTTAAGCAGTAGGCAACTAAGTCTATTGTTCACAACACTAAAACAATTTGACGTTTGTAACTATGTACTAATGAAATACGCTTTACACCTACTACCTTCAGTTGCGCTGGTCTCTGGTCCTTCATACGTAGATGTATGCCAGAAGTTACGACTACGCCAGGTTAGCTTGCAACGATTATTAAAAACTTTTTTGTTTATTTTAATTTACTTACTATAAACAGCCTGCCAAAATCTCAAGCGATTCATTTGTCACCATCCGTTGTCTTGACTAACGTTTCCGTTAGTGCCATAATACTACTTATAAGTGTACGCTAGGCCAATGACACATTTCCGGTTAAGTGTTGACTTTGATAGCAGTTGTTTACATTGAAAACAGCTACTGGAGCTTCAGGTTTATATCTCATCAATTGCCGATTGTGCTATCAGCTCACCGATTTTGAGTCGATTTCTAAACCCCGTTGTTTACGCTGTGATTATCCTTCATAGGAAAAGTACCATATACCCTATGGTGCAAATATTTGCGAGGAAATTCCAAATGGACTCAGAACCTATGCTAACAAAAATCAACGGACCTTCCGCATACGACCAAAGGAGCTTATTTATTTTTCTGATATACCTTGGTATATGAATGAACACAACAAATTTGTATTCTTCTTGAATAGTTATGGTCCGAATTGTGTATTTAACGGATACGTTCAATTGAATGAAAGTATGTCGAGTAAATCTTTATCACACATTTGCTTTTGGACGCATGTATGTTTGTTTGTCTGCTAGTAATTGACTAAAAACCCGATATCGTGTCCTTTGCTATCTGACGACTTTTATATCTGGCCAAGCGCGTGGATGGCACGGTTAATGGTGCGGAGCTACTCCGAGTAGGTACTTTCACAAGGCGGCGTTTGGCGGTAGGCATACGTACCTATACCATAACAAATGTATTCCTCTGTACAAGAAAGCTGAAGTACTACTTGGTTCACGTGCCATACCAGCTCATGTGTAAACTTTTGTGGGCGAAACTTAAAAATAATCATGAATTACCGTGCTTATTCAGTTCTAAACGTCGTGCAGTGTGCTCTGGTGATCACTTTGTGCAGGTTGTTATGGGCATCAGAGATTAGGTGTTGACGAATAAGTATGTATCTGCTGAATTCGTAATAATATATAAGTGGTATTTGCATCGACGCACACTTTGGCCGAAACATTGTATGGTGAGACAGCGCTGCATTGTATTTACCGCTAAACATACAGCTATGCTGTAAACAGCTGTGTGACGCATATTTTTCAACCCAGGAGTCTTCGTGTCAATGTAATCATAAATATAATACTTCAAAATATGTTGCAAATTATGGTGTGCTCTTGATGAAATGCTTTCTGGAAATCCTGTATAGAGTGTCTCTATTTCAGCGCAGTGCAACCAAGTGTATTCATTAGTGCCTTACTTTTCTGATTTGCAGGTGAACAGGTTTTGAAGCGAACTGACCAAATACCAACGTACTCCTGCCCTTAACAACACAAACTGCTCCGAATCCCTTAACTACCGCGCTGCAATGACCCCTCAGTCACTATCACATAGTCAAGTAATTGACGACAAACGGTGTAAATGCTTTGATCTGTTTTGGAATATAATTGCAGCTGTTTGATATTGTGCTACTTTAACTATGCGACATTCTGACTTCACTTACTGTAACTAATACATTATTAGGTATCAAGCTCTAGGGTAGGTTTTAAAGGGCTTAACTTTTTGCAGCGATGCTCCGCGGTCATTTAAGTCATGTGACTAGTTCAAATGTAGTGGAACCGAGTGCGCGCTTATTTCCAACCAAAGAGCAACTGTGTCTCTGGTATTTATTAAATATTCAGACGTAAGCGAGTAACGATCATAAGACAAGGCGCAGTTAACCAGAAGAGCGCGGGGATGAGCGCTTACTTATACACAACTCTTGTACCTATGTGTTAGGCCAGTGTACGTGGGCAGTGGAATTAGACAAATTCTGTATTAGAGCAACCTGGGTGTCTATGAAGGGTTCTATTTTGGTAAACTCGGTAGAATCAAAACAGCCGCCGATTAATGTCACAACAAAGCTATGGTACAGAATGCAGTTACAGTTAAGGCCTAAAATGTTCACTTTTTTGGCGGCTGAAAAGATCAATTGCAGTAAACTTTATGTCTGTAAATTTGTTCTTGTTAGTGAACTCTGCAAGAGGTTTCCATGAAGATAGCTGTTAAATGTTTGTTTGCAATTTGTGAACACAGGTTAGTAACTATATGGAGCCTTTTGGGAAGCTAAAGAAACACGGGCTGTGTAAATGGCCCAAAGCGTTGTCAAAACGTAAAGTACCTATCGTCTATTTGAAGACAGATATAAGCCAAGGGGAATTAGTTGCTATAGCTGACACATTCGTAGGACGACGCTTGTGCGGCGGTGTTCCATTTGACTAAACTAAGTTTCTAACTACTGCAGCTTAATTGGGTGCCATGACCTAGTTTCTGGAAGTGCTGGTCAAGGTTTTGGGATTTATTTTGTAACCGGTCAGCCGCGACGTAAGCGCATGGAATACGCTGATATTGACCACAATATATTCCAAGAAACAGAGGAAAAAGCAGCCTACTCTTGCTTCTGTAGGGAAAGATATGTCCTAAGAGAATCTACCAAATGGGGTCGAACCTATAATTCGAGCATGTCTAGACAAACTGAGGGGTCAATCGGAGGAATTGTCGGGTAAATACGGTTTACCAACTAGCTCTTTTCGAAAAACAAAAATTGCATGCAAACTTAAATCTTAACTTACAAGTAGATTATCGTCGAAACGTACTTCAAGAACCAATGTCCAAGTATAAAAGGTTTGCGTTGTCCGTTCATAATTACCATAATCACGTGTGGCAACCTTTCTCAATAGAATGGAGGTCAGCTTTACTAGGCGGCCTCGTCTGCTAGGGATCGCCATGCCGATGTTTATATAATCTAATGTCGTCGGCAAACAAATGAATGTTTGCCTTTGAGAGTCACGCAGTTATCGTTTATACACAGGAGAAATATTTACGGAACGATTAAAATTTTTGGAATGTCACCGCTGGTGATCGGGCGCGAGAAGATGTGTTTGGCACCCAAACCGCCTACTTACAACGCTTGCTGTCTGCTGAGAATGACTAAGTAAAGGCAAAACCAGGAATTTAAATGAGATTATCGTTACCATTACAGCTAGTGTTTTACTGGCGAGCACCATTTATAATCCAAATGCTTAAGTTACCGTTGCAACACCGGATCGTATCAAGCCTAAGTGAAATGCAGGTGATGTTCCTGGCAATGCATGCTATAAGTTCTGCCGTGGGTCCCATATTGAGAGGTGTTAACTATGCTTGCGGATTTGAGAAGTACTATCTAAGTCATTCTGATTAAAATTTCGTTCAGTTTTACGATTGCGTGCGCGCGTTGGATCGGTTCACCGTTAGTAATATATATCTTTGTAATTTGTATTGACTTAGTATGATAACTGAGGTTCTTTATTAGTCAGAAAATAGGTCTTTTCAACAATGGTGGCTACATATTCAGTTGTGATACCTTAGGGCACACCGCCAGAGTCCAAAGTGAGAACTGTTGTAATAGTCTCCATTAGATGCTGAATACTACACGGGTCATTGATTGTTTTCGATCAATGGCATACAGAATTTTTATTTCATATTCGTGGACTATTTAATCAAAGTAGCACAAACTGCTTCAACAGTACCATGTTCGTCCACGGGGTTTAGTATTTTTGGTGCAACAATTTGAAACTTTACTACCAAATCCTCAATTAATGTATTTTTATGTATCTTCTAATACGACCTCGGGGATGCTGAACTTTCTCAGTCGACTTATAGTGAAACTTAAAACAGGAAAAGCAAATGTAGCGAGGGTTTCCTTTGCACTGCTTACCAAAAACGACTGGAGAAACTTGGCGTATAATGCATTCTACCGGCGACTAGGTTGAAATATCCTTATGATGTACGGAGAACAAAGTCCCGCGAGACAAATACGACGTTCCCTTCTTAATTGCGTTGCAGAAGATAATACAGTGAATAGTAGCAAAACATTAGTTTAACATTAGCGCAATATGTTATAATCGGACTAAAAGCGAATGCTTGATATGTACCGTAGTATGGTTAGGGTGTATATTACAAGCCAAAATACAGTGTCGGTAATAGTCGCGTGTAGTCCTGAACTCTGCAAGGGGTTTGCTTTAACACGTTTGAGTATTAGCACCTGGTGTTCTTAAGGATTATAGAACCATTCAAGTTGTTTATGTACTAATGCAGTACTGTGATGGCCACTGAATTCGTAACACTGTTTAACTGTGTCATAGTATCGTCAAGGCGTTTGTTAACAGAGTTATGTTTGGGGCACCACTTTCTTGTGCCGGGATAGCTTTCCAGGACTTTGCAACTCGGAGGTGGTAACGTTTCTTCGAGATTCCAGTCGGCTGTACTGCACGACCAACTTAAACCGGTGACTCAAACAAAGATTTGTTTGACTGAGCTTCAAAAATGGTGGCTTACGTAATTGGGATTTCTTAGGATCGTATAAACCCTTAAAAGATATCCCCGTACACTTTGCTAAGCTCCTTTGTACCTGTTGAACTTTTTCAGCCTGTGGAAGTAGAGTAGGTGGGACAAATATCTTATATTCCTCCTCGCTGTGCGTTGTGCAGTCACAAGCTCAGTGATGCGGTGCCTCTGCCAAGGTTGCACAGAAGATACTTTGTACTAATATATTTGGTGGCGCTGTTCACCATGTGTCCGCTTTCTTACATTGTATAGTGCAGTGTGTGAGAATGTGACATAGTATTATGTCTAAGTAGACTGTCTTCAGTGGCATACAGCAAAGCTTGGTCCTTGGAAAGCCGTTGTTCTGTCTAGGTGTGAACGACCTACTCGCATGGCTAAAGGTAACATCGGTGTTAATTGCTGAAGAACAAAACCTTAAAATATTGTCAATGTTCCTAGGGGTCCATAGGCTCTCCAGCGTGCAATGGATAGGCCTGAGGACGGGACTCTTTAATAGTTACTGCCCACAGATAAGGCAAATTTCACCGTTCATCCATTTGGTCAAGGTTATACCTTTTTGATGTTAAATTTATTAATAAATAAAACCTATGTTCTCGGAGAAGCGAGAAACGCATGCACACGCTTGATCACGTTAAGTGTAAAAATGCGATCAGTTACTGTACAATGAAACAATGGGATTTTTGCATATATTGGCTTAGGAAAGTATGTAAGTGTGCATGTGAGTGTGTTTAACTGCATTTATGGAATTTGTAACTGTTTTTCTCCCCATTTGATCGTGCTTTGAAGTGTCGTCAGTTTTAAGTAAATGCGTGGTTCACCTGTTGATTGTTTTTCCGAGCTTTATTAAGAAATCGCATACGTTTCACCACCATGCGAGGTGGCATCTTCAGTGCAGTAATAGGCAGTGTGTATTGCTGCTTAGTGGATTGACAGTCCGTCATGCACGGGCAGTCACCTGCCCGTGCATGACGGACTGTCAATCCACTAAGCAGCAATACACACTGCCTATTACTGCACTGAAGATGCCACCTCGCATGGTGGTGAAACGTATGCGATTTCTTAATAAAGCTCGGAAAAACAATCAACAGGTGAGCAACCAAGCCGAGCTACCAGTGTTCCAAGTTATTTCAAATGCGTGGTGGCTGTGGACTTGCAGCGGTTGTTCGGATAAGCAATGGGTGATTTTAGTTGGTAGCATGGCACAACCGCCAGGTCACAGTGTCGCTACACGTACATTTTGGCTTTTGTAGGAAGAAGGCTTGCCAGGCAAATACCTACCACGGCCTGGAACAGTGCTGCCAAACTATTTACTAGAAGACTGTAAACCAGAAACACCCAGCTGGCACCGCGTAGAGGTAGTTTGGTTAGACAATCATGATTTATATGACGTAAGACCTCATTGAGACTAATATAAATATACCGGACTTTTGCCAAACAAGCATCGGCGTCCTCCTTAACAGCGATGGGTGGGAATCGGGCGAACTTATCAGACTGCGAATGTCCACACTGCAACGAATTATTAAGGTTACGTTTACCTGGACATTATACTGGCTGTATAATCTGTGTGGCAAGTACGTGACTGGCTTCTAGTAAAAACGCCCATGTGTCACGATGGGCCTATTCCTATCGCAAATAAATTTGGCTTCTTTGGTGAAGTTGTTACTGCTCACAGCTCACATTCAATCACGTCTTCACCATCCCCGCACTCTATTATCTTGCTGCATAATCAATAACATTTGATAATGATGGTTAGTTAAGTTAGTTGGCGTAGATAGATAGTTCCCTAGAGCAAAACGCCAACCGCATTGAACCGCGGTTTGATAATCTGCTGGGCTAGTTTGCTGAACCGGTGGCATTTACTTGCTATGTTTCACAAACCTAAGTGCGCCATTACTTTAAACTTCCATCGCATGTTTATTGACAGACACCGCCACCACATTTGAATGACCGGGGGAAGTTACTGG